TAGTAATTCTATTCTATTAAAATTTCTATACTTTTAGTTCTAAATTATATAATTTTAATATTCTATTTATATATAAATTATTCTATAAACTACTCTGCTAATTATTCTACTAATTATCTTACTAATTATTCTATTAACTATCCTACTAACTACCCTACTAATTATTCTACTAACTATTCCACTAATTATTCTGTGAATAGCCCTGTGAATAGTCCTATAAATAGCTTACAAATAGTCTTATAAATAGCTTATAAATAGTTCTATAAATAGTCCTATAAGAAAGTCTATAAGAAACAGCCCTACTAACAGCCCTATAAGCAAGCCTATAAGAAAGAGTCCTACCAACAGCCCTATAAGTAAGTCTATAAGAAAGCCTATAAGAAACAGCCCTACTAAGAGCCCTATAAGTAAGTCTATAAGAAATAACTCTACTAATAGCCCTGTAAGCAAGTCTATAAGAAAATCTATAAGAAATAGCTCTGGTAATAGTTCTATAAATAGTTTATAAACAGCCCTGCGAATAGCTTATAAATAGTCCTGTAAGGAAGTCTGCAGAGAACAGCTCTACTAATAATCTTATAAGCAAGCCTGTAAGAAACAGTCCTACTAATAGTCCTATAAGTAAGTCTATAAGAAAGTCTATAAAAAATAGTTCTATAAACAGCTCGATAAATAATTTATAAATAGTTCTATAAATAGCTTATAAACAGCTCTATAAATAATTCTATAAGAAAATCTATAAGAAATAGTTCTACTAATAGTTCTACTAATAATTCTATAAGTAAGTCTATAAGAAAGTCTACAAGAAAGTCTATAAGAAATAGCTCTACTAATAGTTCTGTAAATAAGCCTATAAGGAACAGCTCTGCTAACAGCCATGTGAGTAAGTCTATAAGAAAGCCTATAAAGAACAGCCCTACTAACAGCCCTATAAGCAAGCCTGTGAGGAACAGCCCTGTCAACAGCCCTGTGAGTAAGCCTATAAGGAACAGCCCTGCTAACAGCCCTGCTAATAGTCCTGCTAATAGCCCTACAGCTGAGTGTATAAGTATAAGATAGTCTATAAAACAGCCCTATAAACAGCCCTGTTATTAGCCCTGTAAACAGTCCTGTTATTAGCCCTGTAAACAGTCCTGCCAACAGCCCTGCTATCAGCCCTGTAAGAAAGCCTGTAAGGCAGCCTATTCTTCCATATACTAAGTGTAGTGAGGGTCCAAGGCTTGTTAGTTATAATAAAAGACTAGTTATATTATATAACTTAAAAAGTATAATAATAAGATCTATAGTTAATATATAAAATAGAATAGTAAGAGTAGAAATAAACTAAAGTTATTTATATAGATAATACTTATATATATAATTATAAAGATAGTTAAGTTACTAAATAATATAGTTATTGAAAAGGTTTCTTACTTAATAAATATTTAAATTATTAATTTTTATATAAAATTTATCTATATTTTAATAATTATAGTTATTATAAAGAGCTTTAAAAACTTCTAAACTACTAAATAGAATAGATATAATTATAATTCTTTAATAATAATATTATTATCTTTAATATTATCTTTAGATAAATTAAGTATAATAGTTCTATTACTTTTACTATAAGTAATATAATTTGTTATAATAACAAAGTTGAGTAGCTTATTCTATACTATAAATAATATCTAAGCTAAAAAATATATGAATTAATTTATTCAAGAAGTAATTTATTATATTTATACTATCTATATAAATAATTTATTTAAATAGTTAATTTATATTTAGGATTGTCTTAACTCCTGTCTTTATATTCAGGTAAGATATTCTATATAAGATACTATATTTAGTAAGTTTCTCAAAGAACTTAATGAATAATAGTATGATTAAAAAGTTCTTGTCTATATTGAAGATAAAAACAAGTATAGTAATATCTCTTCTAGAAATTATAACTTCTATAGTCAAGAATATTGAGAATTCTAGAACTACCTAGATTAGAATTAGAGCTGCTAGATATATAGAAAATATATTCTATAATCTTAGTTCTATAACTTAAATCTACTTTTATTCTATCTAAAGCTTTTTATAATTGATATTTATCTAGTCTATCTTATATCAGTAATAATTACTTTCAAGATTAGTTAGATTAATAAAGGATTACTATAATTCTCAATAAGTATATAGTACTTGATTTATTGATTAGAATATAGACATAAATATAATCAATAGATCAAAGATAAGAATATCACTACTAATAAATTAATTTATAAATATAAGTAGTATATTATTTTTCTCTAGATTATATTAGTATAATTCTACTATTATTATATATTTAGACAGCAAGAATGCCTATCTTAAAACACGGGCATCTGTAGTAGTTTCAGTTATCCTGAATTCTGCCGTCTGTATCTGCCTTCGGGCATTAATTCGACGGAGTCGATTACCGTTTTCCGTCTTCCATCAACATCATCATGATCATAATGAATTCAGAATCCTCCTCACTGAACCATAACACTAGTAGTCTAAATCTAGATAGACTTCTAATTTAATAAATAATTAAGAATAGACTAAGTATCTTATTTATACTAATAGACTATAGACTTATAGATGATATTATAGTTAATAGTAAGCTTAGCTATTAGTCTAGAGACTACTTACTTAGTTATATTATAGTTAATAGTAAGCTTAGCTATTAGTCTAGAGACTACTTACTTAGTTATATTATAGTTAATAGCTAAGATCTAGAGCTTTATAGTAAGAGAACTAAAGAGAGTAATAAAAGATACTATAGACTATATTAGTTATCTATTCTTATATATTTATATTAATTTTAACTTAATAGTCTTAATAATAGTAGTAGTATTAATATCTCAAAAAGAAGAAAAAGAAAAAGTAGTATTATCTATAAAGAGTATAGACTTACAGAGATAGTTAGCTATAAGCTATATTTATATATATCTATTTGATTAGATTATTAACTATCTATTATTCTCTTAGTAGAGCTATAGTCTAGATTAGTTTGAAACTATAGTAGAAATATATATTACTTTATATAATAGTAATATTTGGCTAGTTACTATCTATATAATTAAATAGTACTAAATAACTATATAATACTAATCTAATCTATAATAACTAATTATTATATATAGTATAATAAAGTAACTTGATTTAAGAATCTTAATAGTCTATAATATAAATACTTATAGAAGAAATAATCTTTTTTAAACAAAAAAGGTAAATAATAATAGTAGTAGTAGAATATAGAAGATATTAAATAATAGATATTCTAATATTTATTAAGGATATCCATAGCTAATTAATTCTATTATAATAATACATACAATACATACATATTCCTGTATGGAACATACATGACGGACCAGCCAGTAGCCCCAGCCTTCGAGCCGCTGAGCGAAGCGAGGATACAAGGCTTGTATTATAATACTAAGTATAAGTTAATAAAGTTCAAGATAAATGATTAAATATATGTATACTTATATTATAGTTATACTATACTATCTATTTATATTAAAGATATTAAGTATAAGTTAACTTGATAATATATTAGATTTTTCTATATTTAGAAAGTTAGTAAATATTATATATATTAACTAGAACTACTCATATTATGAACTATCTATCCAATAGTATTAATTTTCTAGTTAGAATCTATTTTATCTAGTAAAGATCTCTTTCAGAGTTATCTAAGTCTTTTATGGTGGTTATTAATAAGAGATTTTCTAGTAAAACTAATTACTAAGAAGATTATTAATAAGTATCTTATCTATAAAGACTAGTATTAAAAGCTTATTCTAGAGTATCTGATCTACTAATCTAGATATAGACTTGAAGATAATTAGTAGATTTATATATCAGATATTACTACTAATCAACAGATTAATAGGAATAAAAGATATTAGTATTAATTATTATTTATTATATCTTAATATCTCTATTCATATATATCTACAGCAAGAATACTATTATAAAAGACTGGCGTATATAATAGTTGCTAGCAGTAGAAGGATTCTGCCCTATTGTTCCACCTTGAACAGATCTTAGCTAGTTTTCGCTCGTCTTAGGAATCTTTCTTTATAAATTAATAAACAACTTCATCATAATAGCATTATAAGACACATCTCCCTACCAACAATGCTGACAAGTAAAAGTTTAATTACTATGATTAATTTCTTATAGTACTATTCTAATATATATACTAAGATCTTTACTGAAGCCAATATTCTTAGTAGTTTTTATACTATAGATCTTATTCTATTTAATTTTTAAAAGATTCACTTAGAACTTTATATATACTTAAAAATACTAACTTTACTAGTTCTTTTATATTTAAATTAGTTATTATATCTTAGAAGAATATCTAGTATTCTATATAAACTAAAGAAGTAGAGAAAAGAATTATAGAAACTTAAAGATTAAGATCTTTTATTAATAATTATATATAAGATTATTTAAAAGTAATAAAGATAGTAGAATAGTTAATATAGTCAATAATCTTACTTTAATACTAAGTTAAGTAGCTATAATTATAGAGATATATAAATAAAAGAAGAAAAAGATCTTATAATAATTTATAAAGAGCAGAAATACTTTAATAGATTAAGAAGACTTCAATATTATATATAAATATAAAAATAAGACTATTTAGACTTTAGTATTAATATTCTCTAAGATATACTAGTAGACTTATTATAATATATATAAAAGTAAGTGATATGATTAGCTAAAGTATCTGACTAAAAATACTAAGAATTAATATATATAGTCTTTATAAGATGTTCTTAAAGCTTTATGGATGTCAAGGGTGGTAAGGATTTTGAGGATTTTGATGGGGCTGCCGGTTTGGTGTCGCACTGGTTCGGTGTCCGATTACATTACCCCATAAGTTAAGTTAGCTAGTTAAAGTGTAAGTCAGCTGAGTTAGTGGATTGATTACATAATACAGATCAGCAACCATCAACGGTCGGATACAAATGGAATCGCCCACAGGGGAGAAATATACCATCAAATGTGCCCCGTGTAATAATTGCTTTCATTTTTAAGTCTGAATCTGGTTTTCGGCTTCAGGAGGACTAGAACCGAAAGCCAAATACATAAATTGAGAACCTGCCTTCCAGAAGCTGGTCTGTCACACTCTGCTCATGCCCACATGTTTCCCGGATTTCGCGTTCTAACCAGAAGTCATTAGACAGATTCTCACTGCACTTGAAATTTAGCTACACACGAAATCACCACTGTCACTGATACTAGTCATAGCACCTAGTAAGACATCAGCCAATCAGTCTCAAAGTATAGCCAGTTTGTCTGGACTCCTAGAAATATGCCAAGACCTCCTACCAAACGCAGTCGATTCACATCAGAAACTTCCAAGACTAAGAACCATCATGCCACTGACACTGTCGGCTCGACGAAGCAGTCCTCAGAAGATTCGAGTCACAACTATCCGAATCTTTTGCACATGACGGAGCGCCCCGACTTTGCTTATGTACCACACCAGAACGACCAGACGCCTGTAGTTAAGACTCACGACTATGCAATTGATTCATCACCACTGGAAGAGTGTGGTCCGACCAGCGGCCGTCCAGTCACACGAGCTCGTGGATATTCCTCTACACTGTCTATCATCGGTCGGAAAGGCGATGGAAGTTCAAAGATTCCGGGTACACCTGCTTATGAGAGTTCGGTACTGAGCAATTTCAGGAGACGGCCACGGCAGCCTAGCATTCTTCACATAATGCAAGCCGATGATAGTTCCTCAGATTTGGATGACGAAGACTTCCTTGGAGGTTTAAGTCCCGAGGACGAGTCTACACCCTTAGATATATCGAGGGTGAGATCACTCATACCAGCGCACGTCACCACATCGTCATCACCTGGCCCTTCATCACCTTCCAGCAACAAACAGCGCAAGCGTAAATCGCCAGCTGAGGAGATTGAGATTGAGTATGCTTCAGACTCGCAAGCAGTGCGGCACTCTCCCTGTACTTCGATAACGGTGCAGGAAAGTAATCAACCAGGATGCACAATGCAGCATCTCATGTCGCCAGGTGCTATGAGTGAAACAATGGCACCGCCTATGAGCAGCAGCCCTGCGGCAAGTCCCGTACTTACGCCCTCGATTACCAGTGCGGAAATGTCCTTAGCTGTCCCTAAAATTACATTAGGGATTCTCAGTGAACAAAGAAATAACGTGAGCAAGAATGTGCCTACACTGGCGCTACAAGATAGACTGCTACCTCGGAGAACCAAAGCTCAGCGCAAATGTCTCGCAAGCACCCTGAGTGATAGTAGCTGCTCCGAGTCAGAGCAGGATGAGGATGAATTGAGCTATGCTCCACCGGGAAAATCCTGTCAGGCATCTCGAACTCACATCCGCAGGCCCAAATCCCAGAAGCCTCGAAATAAGTTACAGGAAGAGCGGACAAAAACTGCTACGATCGAGTCACGAAAGAGAAATGGTTGCGAAAGTCACAAATGCAAGAGTAGGACAAGAGTGGGAGCCGACCCGCTTCTCTGCGCAAGAAGCAATGCACCTGAAGAGCCTCCATTGCCTTCGTCGTCGCCTTTGTCATCGCCGCTCGGTTCCAATGCCTACTGCTCAGGTGTGCCATCGGGATTTGAGAAGCTGCTCAAAGACAGGTATCTCAGCGAGGAGTTGAGACTGCAGGCAAAGAAGTTTGCCGACGTTGATAAATGGGTGTTAGATTATGAAGATGTAAATCCTTATGTCAGCCAAGGCAGTGATGCTTTCAGATAGGGATACAAATCAATTCCTCTATATCTTCATCTTGTTGACCATGTGATTCGACAGTATGTGTGGACTCTGATGGGCGAAGGTATTCTGCACTCTAGTTTGCAATCATCTTAGAATTTCTAGAAGATTTCGAAGATTAGTAACTACAGTATGTTGTAGGAATGCAAGTGAGGCTCATGGTAGGTAGATCGATAGGCGGCTGTACGATGTATCAAAGGAACCCCGCAGCAGTACCGTACCGTCCAGGCCATTTTTTCCACCTCCCATTGCCAGCTTCGAACTCGTCAGACCCTTGACAACAACTATCCGAAGACGTTTGAACAGCATGACTTCCCTTGAATCAATCCTAGCAGGTAAATACCCCGCAAAAGCTCATGCACGCCGGGTGGCTCAAGGCCTTCAATCGCTTGGACATGGCCGCCACGGAATTATTTACCTTGAAGCACAAAAAACTCGACTCATCGAGGATAACGACGAGGCCATGCCATTTAGGTACTAGCCATCTCTCGATTTTACTTCTATCTCTCATTAAAGCTAACAGATGGATTTGCTAGGCAACGTCGTCCATTTTTTTACTTATCGGGATGCTTGCTTCCAGATTCCTGCCTGATCTATAACATCGACCTCGATGAACTTACGCTGTTCATTCCTCCAGTTGACCCAGAGGATGTGATCTGGTCTGGCCTCCCCATGTCAGCGGCCGAAGCACAGAAACGTTTTGATGTGGACTATGTGCTGCCTACTCCTGCAGTAAACGCCACCCTTTCCTCGATTGCTTCGCATAATCCCGGGAAAGTAGTTGCTTTTGTAATCGAAAACCAGGTTTCTGAGAACACCAAGATCCAGGAAATTTTTGAGGTTAACACTTCGGCACTGAAAGATGTCATTGGAAGGACTCGTGTTGTCAAGGACGCGTATGAGGTCGCGCTCTTGAGGAAGGCAAACGACATCTCTGCTAGTGCACATGTTGCAGCCATGAAAGCCTCCAAGACTGCTACAAATGAGCGTGAGATAGAGGCTGCTTTCATAGCAACTTGCATCGCTCACGGTGCTCGTGAACAGGCATATCATCCGATTGTTGCATGTGGAGAGAATGGTGCCACTCTTCATTATGGCAAAAATAACGACCATCTGATCGATGCAGCCATGAAGCAAAAGAAGGGAAGCATTCTAATTGATGCCGGGGGGGAATATAGCACATACTGTGCTGACATTACCCGAGTCTTTCCTTTGGGTGGCAAATTTTCACTGGAAGTCCGCCAGATCTATGAAGTTGTCTTGCAGATGCAAATAGAATGCATTGATATGTTGAAAGAAGGTGTCCAGTGGGAGGACGTACACACGCATGCTCACCGCGTTGCTATTCAAGGATTGAAAAATCTGGGAATCCTTCGTGGCCTGGATGAGGAACTGATGGACAAAAGGATCAGTGTGGCATTTTTCCCTCACGGCTTGGGTCACTACTTGGGTATGGACACCCATGACACTGGTGGCAACCCGAACTATGAAGATGAAGATACGATGTTCAAGTATCTGCGTGTAAGGGGTCGTCTGCCCGCCGGTTCAGTCATTACTGTGGAGCCAGGAGTGAGTCCAAGGCCCCGCTCGTACTGTTGCAAAGTGGTTCCCTAACTCGTACAGATTTATTTCTGCCGCTACATAATCGACCCTTTCCTCCAGTCAAGTGAGACAAGAGAATACATTGACACGGACGTCTTGGAAAGATACTGGAGTGTGGGTGGGGTGCGCATTGAGGATAACATTCACATCATGGAAGATGGATACGAGAACCTGACCACAGCACCAAAAACCATTCAAGAAGTGGAAAGCTTAACCTCCTAGGTCGTCCGTCATACATCATTTTTTTTTTCAGTTCTTCAGCTCCAGGATGACATTTTTTGCCCTTCCGAGCGCCGAGCCTGGTACCGAACAAACCCCCGTCAAGTGGATGATGTGTATATGTACTTGACAGAACTCGTCGCAGTCACATCCTGTGCTACTGCGAGTATGGGTTTCTCTTCTATTTGGGTATAAAATGAGCTCTGACCTCGGAATATAAGGGTTACCTTCGAAAATGAGAGCCAAACATTCGGGACAGCTGGACGGTCTAATGACCGTCTTTCACTGAGGCATAATGCTAGACCCGGCTCTGTAAGTCAGAGTCTCTGCGTAACTCGTACTTATACACATTCTGCAGGTACGGATATTAAGATATTAGAGGCCACTGCGCAGTCGCTTCCGTCCGCTTCCCTTTACCGCAGATTCTGCTTCTGCCCTGTCTTGAGCACGTTTCTCTTTTTGGTCCAGCACAAGACTGAGCACATCGTAGCAGAACTGAGGCACATCAATGCATAACTTTTTGAATTCCTCCTCAGCCTCGTGACGTAACACATGGCTTCGCAATGCCCAGAATGTAGCTACTGGCTTGCGGATTGTGACATCATCCACTGGGGTATATGTATATACATATCGGGCATAAGCAATTTCACCCTGAGATGTGCTGTTGATACGATGGATCTTCGAGTGTGCGAGAGTTTTCAATGAAGGTATTCCTAACTTTTCGGCCAAGGTATACACCCGCGCGTGTTTCAGTAATTGTTCTCCGCTGTCGTCGATGTCCTCAGTTGCCGTTTCTTGGTCGGTGTGAGCTTCAGTGTAGGTGGAATATTCATGCGTGTATTGGAACTGTAGGAAATAGCCGAAGGCTTCCACATCCTCTGCCGGAAGCTCAATGCGCCGCTTGGAAATGTTAGTGGTGACGGCGTACTATTGATGAATGTGGGTGTAGAAGGCATGTGCTTACCGGGCCTGATTCCCTGAAGGCCGCAACCTTCTCCGCAAGGAGGGGGGACTCTAGAAGTAGGCTTTGGTGAGCGGTCAAAACGGTCCTAGACCCTTCGGAGCCGACAACGAGTTCCACGATAGGCGACGTCAAGAAACTAAACGAAATGTGAGCGACAATGCCTCCCTTCCGAACATTGCGTACAAGGAACAATGCGCCGCCATTGAGTCTCAATCCGAAGCATGCTCGAACAAGAGAGGGAGAGAGAAAAAAAAATGAGAGTAGAAAGAAGATCAGCAAGATGTGTTCTTACTCAAGGAATTGTAGGCTGGCATTTCTCTTGTGTTCTGTTGATTTTGTTTCTGGCTCAGTAGCCGAACATTCATCAGTCATAAAAATATCTGGCATTGTGTCCGTCTGCACTTCATTGACTGTCTTTGAAGATGTGTCGACTTCAGTATTAGAGATTGCTTGGCTTCCTGCAACACTAGATTCATTATGTCCAAAAGGATAAGCATTCTCTGGCACCCCAACTTGCACCTGAGGAGCGTCCATTATTCAATGTAATTTTCCACAGTGCAAGCAGCAGAACAACTATAGGGAGCTGTGCAGAGACATTCAAACTGAATTAAACAGATCACAGCTACCTAGGAGCTCAGTTGCAAGAAATGAGGGCCTTCTCTGCAGGTGCCTTCCTCAGCCAAAGGGGTCCCAAAGTGCACTTGTAGTGGAATTGCCTCTGGCAATATCCTGCCATTGGTTCAGCCCCGTGGCCGGATAGATCTGCCGCCCGTTCCCGCCTTTGGTGGATAACTCATGGCTCTTTGTGGTGGTTATCATCCTGGTTGGTATTCTGCCGTTGGTTTCCGCCTTTCCTTCTTGAGGAAAGCATAATGAATAATGTAATCAGATACCAAACCAGCATAATACTAAACCAGTAGAATACCAAACCAGTAGCTTTATGAGAATTCTTAAAATTTTTAAGAATAAAGTTGATTATTAGGATATAGAATAATAGTAGTCTTCTATTCTCAAGACTAATCCTTACTTAGAAGATATTATATGATTCTAGTATAGTGGTTTCAACTCTGGCAGCATTCTGCCCTTAGTTTCTATCTTCAGGGATTCTTTCAATGGGGTCAACTTCTGTCTTCTATAACGGGATACAATAACTTTATTAGAAGAACCAATATAAGTCTTTTCATTATAAAACTATAACATATAACAGTATAAATAATCTAGTATCTTTTATTACTATAGAATTGGTTATCTATAATATCTTTTAAGATATTTATTTATTATTTATTATTACTGGAAAATATACTAACTATTTATTATCTATATATCTTAAGATCTCTGATTATATTCTCTATATTCTATCTTCTATCTTTTAATATTTATTATCTTATTACTATCTTAATTATATTTTCTTATTAATATCTTAATCTTTATATATTTTGATTAGAGTTTTGGTTCTTTTGGAATAAGCTTTATTGAATTCTTACTTTTCTATATAAAATTGGTATTAAAGTAAGATGAAAGTAAGAGATTATAAAATTAGAAGAGTTAAAGATTTAATAAATAAGAAAATAAATAAATTATTAAACTTAATATATAATTATTAGATGAATTAACCTGATTGAACTTATTATAAGGAAATAATAGTAAGAAGCAGACTATTTAAGCCAAATCCTTTGTTTATTGATTTCCTGAATAGGAAACTAGAATATTCAATAAATACAAGGGTGAGAGTACAGGAGTGGAATAACCAAGAATAAATAGAGTAGGCTGGAACAATAGTTCTTATTCAGATGACTGAATTAAGGAGATTAGGACTAGGGCTTGATAGTCAGGTGATCTGCTAGTCTGACAATATCTATATTATTACTAATTATACTATCTTACTATTTAACTAGATTAGAATCTTCTAATATGGACTACTATCTGTATAGTCTATATTCTAAAATTATCTAAACTTATATATTAGATTATTAGGTACTATAATAGTTATATTTATTTCTTTTAGAATTATATAGATAGGACTATTCTATTCTAATTTTATTTTTATAATCATTTTTATAATTAATTAATGATATTTCTAACTATAGTAAGATTCTCTCTTAAAGAATCTAGAAATAGTAGAAATAAGAAGATATTAGAAGTAAATAAGGTTTTTAACTTTAAACTACTATCTAACTATAGCTATTATAGAAATATACTATATTCTTTAAATAATCAAAAAGAAAGATTTAGATCTATTAAAAATAAAATTAATTAATTAGATATAAGATAATAAAACTCTCTGTTTTGAAGACTAATTCTTACTTTTAAAAAGAAATTATAAGATTCTAAATTTAATATAAGATAGATTTTAGATTATTCAAATTATAACATTTATATAAATAATATATAGGTAGACTAATAGTAAGCTTATAGAACTACAGAGGTTATCTATGATATTAATACTAAGAAGATACTAAAGTTTATAATTATATACTATACAAAAATATCAATTTTTGGGATTTTGACTTTAAAGATTAATAACTTAATCAATTCTTAATATTTTTTAAAACTTTTTAATAATTCAAGAATCTAACTATTTATTGGATTTTTAGGTCTATTTTTAGAATTTTCTATTCTAATTTAGGAAAGTTATTCTGAAAAATATATATATATTTTTTTTTAGAATTAGATACTATGCTAATAGTTTATTCTTTTTCTTTAAAAAAAGAATATACTTTAGTTAAAATATATCTTTATATAAAAAAATAAGCCCAGGCTCTAATAGTTATTTTCTGAATTTTAGTAAATTTTTATCTAATTTATAACTATTTTTAATAGAGTAGATAGATCTACTTCTCTTCTATAGTTATCTATATATACTATAAGCACAGCTGTTCTACTTTTAGTCCTAAATCATATAATTTTAATACCCTATCTATATATAAACTATTCTATAAACTACTCTACTAATTATCCTGCCAACCCCCCTGCCAACCACCCTGCCAACCACCCTGCCAACCACCCTGCCAACCACCCTACCAACCATCCTATGAACAGCCCTGCGAACGGTCCTGCGAATAGCTTGCGAATAGCCCTGCTAACAGCCCTGCCAACAGCCCTACAAGCAAGCCTGCGAGGAACAGCTCTGCTAACAGCCCTGCCAACAGCCCTACAAGCAAGTCTATAAGAAATAACTCTGCCAACAGCCCTGCGAGCAAGCCTATAAAGAATAGCTCTGTCAACAGCCCTGCGAGCAAGCCTATAAGGAATAGCCCTGCCAACGGCCCTGCAAGCAAGCCTGCGAGGAAGCCTGCAAGGAACTGTAAAAGGCTGAAGCCAGTAAGCCATCCGGTAGCGGAACTTGTAAAGTTCCGCCCTGTCTGGATTCCTTGTCGGAAGCAAGTCTTTGTCTGCCAACTGGCGGAGTAGAGCTTGCCAGTTAGTAGTTCTTTATATTAAACTAGTAAACTTCTTAAGAATCCTACTCTATAGACTCCTCTATATAATATAAATATTAGATTAAGATCTAATTATTTTAAATAGTTCTCTAAGTAATTTAACTTTAAATTAGTAACTTATTATCTTTATTATATAAGTTTTTTAATTCTTAATATTTTAAATTACTTTTCTATAGATAATAAAATAAATATAGATAGATTACTCTAATAGACTATAATAGTAGAAGTAATTAGTAAGATATAAGTCTAGATATAGTAATAGAACTAGTAGACTATTTAATTAGATCTAGCTCTAACTATCTTAGTAGTATCTATTAGTAAGTCTAGAATACTCTAATCTAAAATATTTAATAGAAAAGACTAGATAGTATTTTCTAGATAGTTAAATATTATTAAGACTAAAATCTATATTAATAGATAGTTTATTAGAAATAAAATAGAATAGATCTAATATATATTTACTCTACTAACTAGAGATATAAGAATAAAGATTAATTCTTAGATAAAAGAGAATAGTAGAAATCCTAATATTTTTATAATAGAAAATCTAGTAGACTATCTTTAGCTTAACTATAAAGATTCTATATAAAAGAAGAAGACTATTAGTTATTTCTCTATAATTAAATAGAATAATTACTCTATAGACAGCTTAATTATAGATATTAACTATCTACTAATTAAGATAAGTAGATAGAACTAGTTAGATAATAATAAATAAAATATTCTATACTAGGCCCTAAATAATACCATCTAATACTAGTTAATTAGAGTAGAGAGAAAGAAGAGATTTAGTAATTTCTATATATAGATTAAATAGATTAGAGATAAATTCTAAGAGATTAATTAACTTTTCTAGAGTATATATCTAAATATAGTAGTTATTAGAAGTAGAATAGAAAACTTAGAATCTAACTAAATAGATTAGAAGATCTCTACTATAGAGAAGCTAAAATAGTATATAAAGTAGATTTCTAAGAAAAAGCTTATTAAATATAAAATAAACTAACTCTACTTCTACTATAGTATATCTATCTATTATATAGCCAAGTATTTCTACCTTTCTCTATAGTACTCTACTGGAAAGAAGTCTACTAAGTAGTTAACTATCTAAGTTTTTAAAGTAGTCCTAGAAGAAGAAAAAAAGAATAAAAAGTTATTTTAACTAAAAAAAAAAGCTTCTCTAAATTATTACTTAGAAAAGTATTAACTAGTAAATACTTACTACTAGAGGTTTTAAAAAGAAGCTAAGAAATATAAAAAGAAATAGTTATTTATTATCTTAGATCTAGTTAATTAAATTTACTATATAAAAACTCTAATAGATATCAGCTATACTCTATATAGAATAATTAGTAAAATCTTTATAACTAAGTACTAACTAGAGTATATAAAAACTAAATTCTATAGAATTTATAGATTTAAGAGAAAAAAGACTTATATTAATTAGCTAATTAAAATTAGACTAAATATAGAAGAAAATATATAGAAGTATATATATTTATATATAATCCTATATCTCTATAGATATAATATTATTCTAGGATTACTCTGGATAAAGTACTAAGATATTATTATTTAGACTAGAGACTCTATATTAGAGATTAAAAATTTAGAAATAGAAGTAAAATATAGTTAGAAAAAAAAATATTCTATATATTTTATCTCTACTAATATCTAGTATATATAGAAGAACTATATAAAGAAAAAAGAATCTACTAAGATCTTTACTACTAGTCTAGTTAATATTAATAAGACTCTTTTTAAGCTAAATTATTCTAAGGATTCTAGAAATATTAAGAAAAAGCTATTCTAGTAGTATTATTAATTTCTTAAGATATTTAAATTAAAGAAAACTAAGAGTCTTTCTCTATATTATCTAGAAATAGACTATACTATTAATCTAGAGAAAGATACTAATAAAAAAAAAAGAAGATATTCTAGAAACTTCTTTATTAGATAAATTAAGATAAGCTCTTAGTTTTTTATAAAATTTTAAATAATTATCTTAGAAAAGACTTTATCTAAGTTAATAACTTATCTATATTAGTACCAGTACTATTTACTTAGAAGTCTAGAGATAGTCTTTAATTCTAT